GTTTCAACTCTTTCAATCTAGAACAGTATCCCCTCAGCCACCTCTTGTAAACAATGATAACTTTGCCTTAAAAACAATTTGGACCACACAGAGACTCCATCTTCATGCGTTATTATGGCCGCATGCCCCCTTTGAGCTTTCCTTCCAAAACCGCATACAAACTCTAGCATTAAATCATGCCCCTAAAGTTCACACTTCATTCACAATCAATCAACAAGTCTCTTATTAGGTGATAATAATTGGGGAATTGTTTTCAGCACTTTGAAAATTGGTTGGATAAATCTTTATTTTGGGAGGTTTTTTATATCCTTGTGTACTTCACGTGGTCTGCAATTCTTGCAAATGATGAGAGTCCCCCCCTGCACATGAAGATGCTGAAATGATCATCACCATCACCCACTTCCTAAAAACATTATCCCCTTATTTTATTTATTTATTTTCTTAGGCGTTCACTTTCAATTGCGTTCTTCTCCCCTTGTAATAATATCGTAGTATTTTTATTAAAAACCATCAACTTCAATGATAAAAGAAAATGTTGTTCTCTTTAGAGGTTTTGAAATTAAACATATGTGTTTTCAAAGTCTGTGTGCGTTATCAATGCATTGTAATCAACTCAGACTATTAAAAAAAATAGTATTTTCATTAGCCTTGTAACTAAAAATCCCTAACTAAGATCATTTTGAACTTACTTTACATCAAAGTTTTAGAAGAGAGAATAATTACCACATTCAATTCAACACTTTTGTATATAAACATGTATAGTAAAAATCCCCTTTGAATTGAGTTGCTCGACACACTGCTTCAAAACATGGCCTTGTACAGCTCTGGCGTGAGTTGGAGCCATGTTAGGCCATTGAATAATTTAAGATTATCTACTAAAATCTACTACTACTAATTGGTAGCCCCACCATCACATGGCCTTTTGAATCCAAATCTTTTTAATTTCTCTTCCTTTATGGCCAAGTAGTAGTAGGTGAAATTTGAAGCAGGTGGTACACTGCCACTCAACATCTTCCGCGTGGCATGACTGATTCGGGGGAAGGGGTGTACATCAATTTTTTGACCCCAAATTGCACATTTTCAACACTAATAAGGCCATGTTATGTCATGCCACTAAAAACCAACAAATCAAACATAGCTACAGAGACCTTTTTAGCTTAGGTTGGTTGCCTTAGTAATGTAAATAATATGTATAGGAGTAAGATTTTATTTTTTTAAAAAAAATAAGATTTTAAATGAATGATCTGCTCCTTCTTTGTCAATCCCTGGCTATGACCATCCCCTTCTCTCCACATGTTGATTGTTCAACAAATTAATTTAACATTTTCCTTACCAACTGCTGCCTGTCAAATCCTCAACCCTTTAGGTATTTTCTCTTATTGTAATCAGCTTTGGCATATCAATTATCAGCCCTTATTAGTGCTGGGGTTCTTTCAAAGGTCACCCAAACAAGGGATGTTGATTTTTTTTGTAGGTTACTAATACTGTTCACAAACAATATATATCTAATTCATAATCAAAATATATCTGAACAGAGTCATGCATAATACATATGAACTATAAATTTATGTATGATAAAAATCGTATTTTTTTTTATCAGTGTTGGGTTTATTGAAATTCCCGGCTGATGATGATGGATGATGGATTATGGATGATGGATGCTTTACATATACTCAAATTAGGTCAAAACTGATGTCTCAATCATGGTTATTTTTTTTAACAGTGGGGATTGGTGAATTCCACAAGAAAACTAATAAATTGAGAATTTACTTTGCCCAAAATGGAACACTGTGGGTGGGGACTCATGCTACATACAACATAATATAATTGAACTATTATATCAATACAAGATGACAAAAATTAATTCATTCGACAGCCAAAGATGGGAAAATTTTGGAACCCTTCCGGTTTCATCATTTCCATTTTTCTCAGGCTACAAATCACAATCATTTGAGTCAGTTACACACACATTCTGTATAAAAGAGAAGAGTCGCGTTAATATTATAATTTACATAACGATATAGAACATATTAACTCTTGTAAAAAGTTAAAATGGTTTAATATTTTGTTTCCACATATTTTTTAGGGTGAAATTTGAGGGAAAATGATGTTTAGAGGAAAAAAAATTAGAGATTTAAAGATGGTATAGATTTATTTTGGGAGAGAGATATTTTATATAGTGATCGATAAATCTGACGATAGATGAATATAGTTTTGATAAAATTATCGACAATAGATGATGTTTCTTTTTTGTTGCATTTATAGGATTAAAATTAAAGAAAATAATAATATAAGGATTAAAATATTTTTAAAAAAAGTGTTAGTATAACAAAACAAAATTGATGACACCAAAATTGATTTAGTGTTGATTTTTTTTCAAAAAAAAATCTTTTATTTTCATTTTTTTTACAATATGATATTAAAATACACAAAAATAGAGTCGGGTTGTTGTCGATATCTAATATTTTTCCAAACTGATAAATTCGTATTAAATTTTGAAGAGACTCGTTATGAAGATGACTAGTTTAATTTAATTTACTTTATTCTTAAATATTAAGATTCAAACTATCAACTTTATGTAAATGATCTAATGTTTTATTTAAACGATATTGGTACCCTTTTGAGCTTTGATTTGTTGCTATGATGATAAGTGAGTGTAAGGCATTTAGTCAAAGTAATAAATGATTGACAAAAACCCACCACAACTAAACCAAGGAAAGTTAACAAACTTTGAAAAATCATCGCATTCATTTTTATTATCAAAGAATTAAATGCATCACTAACTGAACATGATTATCAATTCACATCAAATAGAAACATCAATTCTCTCTTCTTTTTAATTTAAGGATGTCGTTAATTGATGCATTAAAGTGCATTCTTAAAAATTAACGAGATTGATTCAAGTAGTAAATAGAGTTTAAGTAAAATTTCGAGTTTAAATTTTTGTGTATGTAGAAAATTATTGTTAAGAGACTCACCCATCAAAACTAAGGTATACAGCGCGAATCAAACCACATTAATTAAGATAAAATCTTAATTGAAATACGTATATGTGCATTTAAAGCAAGCAAGCTTGGCTAAGTCAAAATGATTTTCTCTTTGTTTTTATTCACTGAATTTCCTAATGATTAAAAGAAATCCAGGATTCAGTTCATTATTTTACATACACAAATAATGTAAAAAGGTAAAATAAATAAATTTCTGACACAGCCATACCAAGTTCAATTCCATAGGAAAAAGTAAAAAAAAAAAGAGAGTAAAAACTAAAGCTCATGTGCTCAACCCACCTGCGCGGGTATAAATAACCAGTAAAATCGCTTCGTATAACTAAGTTCCCATCCATGATTGTATGTATGGATATGAGATCAATACTTGCACGAGATTTGATCTAATTTAATTTTATAGGGTTAAGTTTAAAAAAATAAATTTCAATGGAGTCAAAAACAAATTTTATAAAGGGTAAAATTAAATTGGAAATTAGTTTAAAATTAAAATATTCGAACAAATTTAATATAAAATAATAGTATAATTATTCATTTCATCTAGAAACAATTATTATAATATATTTGAGATTTTTATTCGAAAATCACCTATTTAGAAAATATTTTTCATTATGATACCTACTTTTTTTATTTTCTTCTAAATTTATACCATTTTGTGTAACGTAAAATAAAGACACTACGAATTTTATTTGAGAAAAATAAACACGAAAAGTATGTATCAAGGTGGATGCACTTGGCCCCGTAGTGCATGCCATTGTTTTGGATAAATTCTTAAGTATAGTTCAATATGTTAAGGGAATGAGGGGGAAATTGGGCATAGCCGTTTTATTGAAAAAAATAGTTAAAAATTTTGGATCTCTATTTTTAATTTACGGATCCGTCACGGGTATGGGTTGAAGACGCATAATTGCACGAGTATAAATATGAGTTGGTTAACGATAAAGACATTCGTATATTAGTCTTACATTCAATCACTCAATAAAATAGATGTTTTAAAGTTTATATTTAAACTCTAAAAAACATTCATATCTAATTTATAAATAATATGAAATTTGAGAAGCTCACGATGATTTTAAAGTCTTACATTATTTATATATATGAGATATTAAAAAATATATATTACACGTTAAAAATGTGTTTTTTGAGTGATTGTATAAAAAATTTAATACATTGCGTATATTTATAATTTCTTATATTTTAACCAACTTTTCTCTTTTCTTTCGTTTTAAACCATTACATACCAGCATTGATATTACATAACATAACTCGTTTTTATCCTACATGATATAGAAAAGTATCAATCCAAAAAATAAGTGTCAAAATGAAAAAATATTTTTTCATTTTATATTTGGGTTAAAAACCCATATATTTTGATTGTGATTTTTCAATTATTTTTTTATTTTTAGCAAATAAAAAATAAGTTATTATTAATATTCTCTTAAAAAAACTGTAAAAACTAAACCGATATTATCGTCCTACTCAAAAACAAAAACTCTTAAATAACAAATACTTGGGAAAATAAACAATGGAATATCATAAGTATTCAAAATAAATCTGGCACACTTCCATTGGGCTATGCCCCACTCACATGGGGGTGTCGTGGATTGGGACAGCGGGTATCGTATACTGGCGCGAGTGTAAGAACAATAAACCTTATCTGGCAGTGGCATTCTCGTCATTACATTGAAAAGAAAGGTTGTCCTTTTTTCTGACACCCACCCCATCGCCTACTGGTCTCTTTACTTTTAGTATATGACTCGAAACCAGAGATAAAGACACATGCATGCTACGCTTTTCGACGCTTTAGATTCTCTTAATTCTCTCTTCAAACAATTACCAACCCTTCGATCATTTATTTAACCATGGTTTACAATAATCTTTAGTCCCCTTGGTTGGAAAAAACCAGCCATGGTTAGTGACTTCAGTTTAGCTCTCTTTCAAAGTTCAACACTTTTCTCAACTGGTATTGGTTTTGGTTTTGCAAGAGAGAAAGAAGAAAGACCGAGAGAGGGGAAATTTATCTTCTTTCCCTTCTGTTTTCCTTTTATAAATCTTCACTTTTTGTTTGTAAATTATTAAATTTCGATTCAGATAACAGGTTTCCACTTATGGGAGCTAAAGCTTCTTTAGATCTATGAAAAGTTTTCTTTCATAGATTTTCCTTTGTTTTCTTTTCTCGTTTAAACTGTAATGTAATTGTAGTTCTTTGGATTTTTTTGCTGTTGAAAGAATCCTTTTTTTTCTTTCATTTTCACTTCAAAATTCTCTATGTTTTTCTCGAGAGAAATCGAGTTCATTTTCACTCTCTTTTACTTGGGTTCTTGAAAGAGATGGGAAATATTTTAAAGAAAAAGCTGCTCCTTTTTCCTCCCACTATGGGTTGTAGTTAAAATCTTCAGATCTGGTCTCATCATCTTAGTTTTCTATCAAGTTCTTTTTTTCCTTTCCTTTTCCCAAGTTTTCCTGAGAAAAAAGTTGGAAAAAAGAATCTTAATGTTCTGGGGAAGTAGAAAAACAATAAACATGAATTACTTCCCAGATGAAGTTCTAGAGCACGTGTTTGATTTCATTACATCACATAAAGACCGGAACTCAGTGTCTTTAGTTTGCAAATCTTGGTACAAGATTGAAAAATACAGCAGGCAAAGGGTTTTCCTTGGGAACTGTTATTCCATCAGTCCAGAGAGGTTGATAGCCAGATTTCCAGGTTTGAAGTCGCTAACTTTGAAAGGGAAGCCACATTTTGCTGATTTTAATTTGGTGCCAGATGACTGGGGAGGTTTCCTTTACCCTTGGATCAAAGCCATGGGTAAGAGTAGAATCGGATTGGAAGAGCTTAAACTCAAGAGGATGGTTGTGTCGGATGAGAGCCTTGAGCTGCTGTCCAAGTCATTTCCGAATTTTAAGTCTTTGGTTCTGGTTAGCTGTGAAGGTTTCACCACCGATGGTCTTGCTGCTATTGCCGCCAATTGTAGGTAAGTTTGTTTAAGATGATTCCTTTTTCTATAACTAGATGTTTATGAGATTCTTAGTTTTTATGATCGATTTTTAGTTATTCTAATGATGCTAGTTCTAGTTGCAATTTGCAAGTGCTATGTAAGTTTTACCTGAAAGTTTTTGTTGATAGGTTAGCAATTGCTTGGGTTTAATTGGTTGCAATTTGCCAGTTAAGACTTGAGTTCGTTTTGATGATCATGTATATATGTTTGCTACTTGAATTGGTGCAGCTTTAAGTGCCCAAGGTTTCCTTGTACTATGCATCTTCTTAGCTGCAATAATGTTATATATGTATGTATGTATGTATTCATGTATCTTTTGGTAATTGCAGGTTATGAATATGATAATGGTGTCTAACGGTGTGGCTTTTAATTCGCTTTCTGTGCTTGCTATTATTTGATTCTAGGTTTCTCAGGGAGCTGGATTTGCAAGAAAATGAAGTTGAGGATCATAGAGGCCATTGGCTTAGTTGCTTTCCTGAAAGCTGTACGTCTCTTGTCTCGCTGAATTTCGCCTGCCTCAAAGGAGAAATAAACTTAGCATCTCTTGAAAGACTCGTGACAAGATCTCCTAACCTTAAGAGTTTGAGGCTGAATCGTGCTGTGCCTTTTGATACGCTCCAGAGACTGTTGATTCGAGCACCTCAACTGGTGGACTTGGGTACTGGGTCTTATGTAAATGATCCATCTTCGGAGGCCTATAAAAAATTCAAAGCTGCAATTCAAAGTTGCAATTCAATCAGGAGTTTATCAGGGTTTTTGGAGGTTGCCCCTCGTTGTATGTCGGCTATTTATCCGATTTGTGAGAACTTGACCTTCTTGAACTTGAGCTATGCTGCAGGCCTTCAAAGTAATGAGCTCACTAAGCTGATTCAGCACTGCAGGAAGCTTCAGCGTCTCTGGGTATGATCTTTTAATTATCTTCTATCCATCTGACGATTGTGTCCATCTAAACTAACTGAATGACAATAATTGGTTTAAACTTTGAATGTTGCAGATACTGGATTGTATCGGAGACAAGGGACTAGGAGTTGTAGCTTCAGCATGCAAAGAATTGCAGGAATTGAGGGTTTTCCCATCTGATCCCTTTGATGCTGGGAATGCTGCGGTGACAGAGGAAGGTTTGGTCCTTGTATCCGCAGGGTGTCCAAAGCTCAATTCATTGTTGTACTTCTGTCAGCGGATGACCAATGCTGCTCTCATAACTGTAGCCAAGAACTGCACGAATTTTATCCGTTTCAGGTTGTGCATCCTTGATCCCATAAAACCCGACCCTGTAACCAATCAGCCATTGGATGAAGGTTTTGGTGCAATCGTTCGGTCTTGCAAGGGTCTGAAGCGGTTATCACTCTCCGGCCTTCTGACTGATCAGGTCTTTTATTACATAGGAATGTATGCTAAGAAGCTCGAGATGCTATCCATTGCTTTCGCCGGCGACAGTGACAAAGGAATGCTTTATGTGTTGAACGGTTGCAAGAAACTTCGCAAGCTAGAGATCAGGGACTGTCCCTTTGGTGATGCAGCACTTCTAGAGGACATGGGAAAGTATGAAACAATGCGATCCCTTTGGATGTCCACCTGCGAAGTTACCCTCGGAGCCTGTAAGATGCTTGCAAAGAAGATGCCGAACCTGAACATCGAGATCATAAATGAAAACGAACAGACGGAATCCAATCTCGATGATAATCAGAAGGTAGATAAGATGTATCTTTATAGAACATTGGTTGGGCATAGGGAAGATGCACCGGAATTTGTGTGGCTTTTATAGGTGCATTGTTTTGGCTCTGCCATTTTTTTTGTGCTTATTTAAGTAGTAGTACTTTGTTAGGATGATTAAATCTTCCCGTTTAATTTCCAAGTGATTTGGTATTCGTAATCCTCGTGATTTTAAGTCGATATCTTCTATCTGTAGCAATGAACTTTGTTTCATTCAGATTAGGCCCCATAAGGCGGACATTATCAGTGTCGCCGGTGGGTTTTGTGGGGGAGAAAGATCTGCCAGATATATTTAAGTGCCTGGTCCTTTCGTCTTAAAGAGGGTCAGTACATCATGAACTAAGCCTGAATCATCATGATTAGGACATGTTGGGTTCATGAAATTGTAACAAAGTTTCAAAGAGGGATGGATGACCTCATCATCTGTGGATGGAATCAAGTTGGTGATGGACTCTAATCATTTCAAATAGTGGTCAGCTCTTTGAAAGCTGAGTAATCATCCTCTGGTTGGAAAAAAACAAAATGGCTTTCACTCAAGTCCTACATCAACTAATCTATGAAAATATCAAGATATATTTGTATGTAAAGTTTGAGTTGATAAACTTTGAAATCCAAGGGGTATGGAAATTCCACATATAATTAAACAATAAAACTCGGATCTTCAAGCAAAAAAACATATCAACCACTGAAGAAAAAACTAGGAAACGAAACAGAAAGAAATACTAGTCCCGTAGGAAAGAACAGCAGCAAGTTTTAGATTTGTTCTGGTAATCGTAATGCTAACAGTGGCGGAAAGTGTTGACATTTAGGATAGCGTTCTACAAAAGTACTGTTGGTACCCATCGTACACGGCTGGCGTGGAAGCTGAGGATGGTGGTGGTCCTGGTGGACTGGCGGCAGTGGTGGCGCAGAAGGGTACCCTTGTAAGGTTGGTTCTGAATTAGATATTGAATTACGAGATTATGAATAATTGGAAGATCAAGAGGATTGACGAGTTTCTTGAGGAAATGCTAATTAATGTTCATGATGGTGTTTTCCCCCCGTCTGGGGATGTCTGTAACATCATCTAAAGGTAAGATATTGAAAATTTTCTGATCTTTATGTAACCATCGTCATCAACCAATGCATGTATAGGTTTGTAAAAACTTGTTAATGAAACCAAGTTCCGAGTTGTCTCTGCATCACTGCAGACTGGGAAAATTTAACGCTTAATTAAACCAATGGAGACGTGGCTAAGCAACCGAGATGGATGATTTCTTAAGGTGTTATCTCAAGTCAGTTTTCGCTTTCACACGCGTATTTTGACTAATCTTTTTCATATATAACCAACGGTTTGATCTTTCACAACTAAGAAGTTCAACAAGAAGAAGCTTAGTTTTGTATTGAATTCCCTGCTAGCTGCTAGCACAAAAATGAATAGCAACGGCAAAGAATCACAGTGTAATTACCCCATTATCACCCCTCCAACTGAAGACTACGCCAATACTTTTCATCAACCAAGTGATCAAGAAACACAGCCGCGATGCAACATGCAGCTGCGGCACCACCGTCGTCATTGCCTCTCCCTCCTCCAGAACCGGCTGATCAGAATTCTGAGAAATGGGGGACTCGTATCATGGGAGCACCAGCCGTTCCCACATGTCATCCAGATAACAAGAAGGCAGCCATGTGGGGCGATGGTAACCAGGCTCAATGCCACCATCATCCATATCTACATTATTGCTCCGTAGAAAAATCCAGAAATAGCCCCATGGAATCCATGCTTCAAGTCTTAACACCTGGAGCCATAAAGCTGAGACCATGGCAAATAAAATTTGGCACAACCGTATGTTGTTTTTTTTTATATATATAAGTAAGCTTTATATATCCAAAAGAAAGCAGTCAAAACTGCACAAAAAACTATACAAACAAATCCATAACAAACCACAAGCAGAACACAGTTGCATATTAATCTCATCATTCATCTTTATACCATTTCTTTACAGTTTAATCCTAACAACCTCTTTAACACAGTACAATCTCACCCACAGAATGAGAAGAGCCCCTAAACTGCCTATGATTTCGTTCTTCCCAGATATAATACAAAAAAGCAGTCCAAGCCAACTTGAGAACATGAACAAGGAGAGATTTACCTTTGAAATTAGCCACAACCCATTGAAGATTAGCTTCCCAACAGCGTGGAGTATGTCTCAACCTGCAAGTCAGCAGAATCTCGTCCCACACGCCCCTAGAGGAGTAGCAATCAACAAAGAGGTGATTTCTCGACTCCAAATAACAGTTACACAACCCGTAAATACCATCAATAGTTAACCCAAATCGAATCAGTCTATCCTAAGTAGGCAGCATGGCAAGTATAACCATCCAAGCAATGATGAAAAACTTAGGGAGCATGAGCAGGAAACCAAATAAGGCGGTGCCACTCAACCTTAGCTTTTTTAACTCGAATATTCTCCCAAATCCAACCACCCTTGACTTGAGCCTAATTAGTACTCGAACAAAACACACTCCTAGCCATCTCTCCTTTATCTTCAAAAGCTTCCTCAGGATCTAGCTGAAGTGAACCTTATTCTCAACATCCCAAAAATTCACCGCCTTCAACACATACTCCTTGATCCAAGCCACCTAAAGGAACCCTCACTCGCAAGAATATTCTTCACAAGAAGCAAACTGCATGCTCTATTCCAATCAGCAAGACTCTTAAGTCTTAGGCCACCCTTAGACTTCAAGGAGCAAATATGGGACCAACTCACCCGAGCACCCCTGGCAGGGATATCATTACCTTTCCAGAAAAATCTCATACTAAGCTTCTCAATATCATCAATAACAACTCTGGAAAGAATTATCTGCCTGCTCTAAAAGTTAAAAATGCTGAAGAGAACAACCTTAATGAGCTGAAGCCTACCACCAAAACTTAGGTTCCTTCTAGACCATTTTCTAAAGCTTCTCCCTTATCTTAGCTAGCAAGGCATCACAATCTATCCCTGTAAGTCTCTTAGTTACCAAAATAACACCTAAATATCAGACATGAAGTTGTCCCAGTCTAAAACCAGTAGCACTCTTAATCTTCTCAAGCTCTCCAACAGCCACCCACAAGCAAAAAAATCAGTTTTCAAGGCATTCAATTTAAGACCCGACAAATCATAAAATGCTCTAAAGTGCAAAACACTCACATAATAGAGTCAAAAGAGCCATGACAAAAAACAAGCAAGTCATCAGTAAAACAAATGTAAGAGAAACTCTCTTACATTTGGGATGGAAACTTAAAATTCCATTATTGACAGCAACATCCAAGACAACACATTCATGACCAAAACAAACAGATAAGGGGAGAGAGGATCCCCTTGCTTGACCCCCCTCTCACCCTTAAAATATCCCACCAAACTACCAACCATTCAAAGAAACAGAGTATCTAGGGGTAGTGACACAAGCTTTAATCCATCCACAAAAGACAACAGGAAACCCTATTGCTTCCAAAACAACAAGCAGAAACTCCCAGTTAACTAAGTCAAAGACTTTCTGCAAATCAATTTTAATGGCACATCTAGGAGAAAGGCTCTTCCTAGCATAGCCTTTAACAATTTTCTGAGCCAACAATGTATTATCCATAATATTTTTACCTTTAGCAAAAGCAAATTGACTAGCAGAAATCATCCCAGGAAAGAACCAAGTCAACCTATTAACAAAAAATCTAGTGATAGTTTTATAGATCACAGAGCAACAAGAGATTGACCTAAACTCCTTAGCCATACAATAATTCAAATATTGATAAGTTCTTAATTTAGTTAATATTTTACTTTTAAATTACTCTTTAATTATTGATTTTTGTGGCTTATTTGTTCATTTTAATTCATTTCCTATACATGACGTAAGATTATGGAAATTGCACAAAAAATACACAATTATGCAGATTTTTTATTTTCAGAATCAAAGTTGGCTGGAATTCGGATTTGGATTAAACTCAAATTTAGGATAATATTTTAAACATTATATTGTATCTTTGTATTTTAGTTTAAATAGGTTTTTAGTATTTTAATTAAGTTTTAGGATATTATTTTTATATTTTATCTTTATATTTGTATTTTAGTTTAAATAGGTTTTAGTATTTTAATTAGGATTTAGAATATTATATTTTTTTTGGTATTTTAGTTTAATTAGTTTTAAATGTTTTAATTAGGATTTAAGATGTTTTAGCTTGTTTTAGGATTTTGAAGGCTATAAATACCCTCTAAGGGTGAGCCTAGAAACATATCTCTCTCATTTGAGAATAAAATCTTCTTTTTCTCTCTAGCTTTCTCTCTATTTTTCGCATACTTTTCTATTATGCTAAGTATGCCTTTGGTTATGCTTAGCTAATATTCTTTCAAGGTGAAGACTAAAGCGAAGGCTCAATTCCAAACGTGAGAATTGTAAGGTACTTAAATCGCTTCGGATTTTCTCTATGTTTTCTGAAGCTTACTTTTCAAATCAAAACTATTTCGACATTGGTCCGGATATTGTTATGGTTAATGTTTGAAGAAGGATTTGCTTATTGAAGCATATTCAACTTCCCGAGAACACACTTAGCAAAATTGTTTGCTAAGAGGAAACTGAGATCGGAATCAGTTGTTGTTGAAACGACACAAACCGAGTTGACAGCGAAGAATTGTTCTTGTAAGCTTACGTGAATCTTGAAGTAAAAATTTGTTTCGATGATCCGAGGAATTTGAGGCGAAGCTGAATTCTGAGACTGCTTTCACAATAAGTTTCTATTTATCTTAATCTCTTTAATTTGTTTATTTAATTATTATTTTCTTTTATTTAGTTCTTATTTTTTATTTTAACCACAACTTTTAAAAAATCCCACTTTTATATTTATTACTATTAATATTTATTATTATATTATTATTATTATTTATTTTATTTTAATATATCTTTTCAACTTCATCTGAAATTCTATCTTTTTCTAAAATCAAGAAAGAGTTTTATTAAATCAGAAACACCACAGTCCCTGTGGATCGACCCTGCTTCTCTATACTACATTTTCATTTTTATTTATTAAGAAGCCATGAATTATTTTGATAGCAAAACAACGGTTATCAAATTGGCGCCGTTGCCGGGGACTAACGACAAGTACTAATTTATTTTTCTAGTTTTTGATTTATG